GATCTAAAACAAATTAAACAAATTATTAAAATCTTTTTTTTTAAGATTTGAATACACGTGAATTTGTTTTGCACCATTCCACCTTCTTGAATGGAAGACATTTTTGATGTGCAACTCACAGAACACAATTTGTGTACTTGTACTACAGAATTTCAAGAGGTGTAACTTTTTTTGTAATTGTGACAGATTAAAAAATATACAATTACAAAACACCAAAGTTACAATGCACAAATAGTTTTGCAACAATAGTTCTGGACCATTTGGAGCAGAACTGAGAATGTAAGAGGTTTTTTATGTGTAACTTGTAGATCAGAATTTGTGTACTTGTACTTAAAATTTGGTGTAAAAAAATTGTAGTTGTGATTTTTTTTTTTTTATTCTACAGATACAAAACATAGAATGTAACTCTCCCTACAACTTCAAATTCACACTTACAATGCACAAATAGTTTTGAAACAAACTAACCTTCATAGAGCAGCCCTATCCTTTCTTTGCCTGTAACAATGGCAGCTATATTTGCTGTTATAAGTGGGTAAAAAGTAGTTGAGAAAATCCACTTGAAAAACATCTGTGCAGTCAGTTCACCGAGATTACGATCCTGCATTCAAATATTATTTCTCTGTCGGAGCCGCTCAGACCCGAGTACACATGCGGTGAACTGTCACTGGGAATCCCTATCAACGGGAGCTCCTGGCCCGGTCTCCTCTTTGCAGGGGCTGGAATGCGTTTTTTTTTCGTGTACGTAATCCAAACTGAATAACCAGAATAATAAAAGCGAACATATTTTGCCAGCAGGTTTTGACATTTTAAGTTAATTTATGTGTTAATAAATCATTTCAGAGGAGGGATCATAGTGATCTGCATCACTCTGTCAGTCTCCCTGCCAGCTCCCAGATCAGCTTCTGTGAGTGGTTGATGTGGTGCGTCGAGCAGCAAAACTTCAATTTTTCCAACTCCAGCAGCTGCTGCCTCTGCTGCTTGCGGTCTGCAAGCATAAGTGTACTTCAGAGTTAGTGTACTTCTTACAGATTTTTTTTATTTTCATATTTATCAAAACAAGACAGAGCATAACTCGGTAGAAAAAAAAAACTGTAATTTTGGTGGGACTAAGACTAAATGGGGGGGGTTGCAGTCACTACTTCAATAGTAAATGTTAGAAAACAAGAAATAACCATCAATTAGAGCCAAAATCTTTTGCTTTCTTGATTGTACACAGACAACATTTACACTTTGTAACATAAAGGAAAGCTCTCTGGTGTACATAAACAATTGTTTTGTGCCGGATATGATGAGAGCACTTAAATGATTGTTTATTTTATTTTTTAAAGCAGCTTCCAACAAAATGCAGTTTTTTTTTCTAAAAAGCAGTTTTTTTTGCAATTCCGTTTCTAAGCAGCAGGGTGCGGCAGAGCGCAAGATCCAGTTGTTACTTTAAACAGCAGAAGAAGAAGAGGCCACCGAAACTGAAGAAAAGCACGCGTGATTCGCGCTAACTGGAAAGCAAGATGGCGGTGGCTGTGCGGAGCTTGCAGGACCAGCTCGAAAAAGCCAAAGAAAGCTTGAAAAATGTGGACGATAATATTCGTAAACTGACTGGACGGGACCCCAATGAGTCACGGTACGCGGGTGATAAACATGGATTTGCTTTATTCGGTTAACGGGTGTTATTAAGGCTCCTAATTTTTCGGCGGTGTGTGCTAACTTCATTAGCAGGAGGGGGTAGTCAGTCTGCTGGAAGTAATAACCTCCCTCTGTTTTCGACATGCAAATTGTAACTGTACTCAGTATAATTTAGTTAATATAAAAATTCTCTGTTAACAGTATTTCTTTTTTGTATTATAATAAGAGCAGAACATAGTAGGCCTACTCCGCTCATAGCAGTCAATCAACTGAATGTCACCTCCCTGTTTGGTATCGCAGATTTGTTCCCCTCTCAGTGAAGGAGTGGAGCAGTACTTATTCATTCCTCTCTGGTTGGTGTTATCTTGCAGTGGTGATTCTGTTGACTCTCTGTTTTTCCCATGTTTACAGACCGGGTCAGCTCCGTCGGCTCAGCGGCCCCATGGCAGGCCTAGGAGGAGGTAGAGGCAGAGGAATCAATCTCCTCAGGTAATGATGGAGGCGATCACATTTAGAAATCAACTGAAGGAGGAGGGGGATAACATTTCAGATGATGCCTTCCTTATTTATATCGCTGGGGAATACTCATATAATTTCAATTATAAATTTATAGTCCAATGCCACAGCTTCTGCATTAAACTAAATGAAGAAAAAAAAAAACAGCTTACTGATTTTACATACTCCTTTTTATCTTCTTTTAATTGAAGTCTCATTCGTGCAGGGTTGAAAATAAGCTACAGTGTTTTCAAGCAGGCAATTTGTCCGAAATATATTTTTTTATTCTTATTCTAAGCAGAAATACTTTAAAATGGTTAACATTTGTAATTAACACATGCTACAAAAAATGCACGCACTTAGTCTATGAATATCTCATGTTCGAGTTCACTGTACAAACGTATGGTCTGCATCCTAAAGTTTAGACGTCAAAGTGTGACTGCAAAGAACAATGCTGCCTTCTCTAAATTGAATTGAACAAAACTGGTTTAAGTTTAGTAAAATAACAAGACAGTAGTTTTTATTTCTCCTAAACGTCACCTCTTCATTGTTCCTAATATTTTGTCTAGACGCAGTCTCTCTGATATGGGAAGTGGTGGCCCCCCTGCCAAACAAAGGGACATCGAGGGAGCTCTGCTGAGGTGAGATCTTCTTTGGCATTTAGCGTTAAGACCAACATACTCATTTCAGACTTGATACCTCAGTTGTGCAAAAAAGCGTGGAGATCAGATATTCTTTGGATGAATTAAAGACTTTATTCGAAACAAAAAATTAAGATAAGTTTTATTTGTACATGTTTATATATTAATCAATTGTTAAAAGTAGTCTGACCCTTCCCCCTATTATAAACTTTAGTTTGAAAACGGGACTAGTGGATATCCAGGTTTTGCTAGTTCTCTAGACATGCACTGGTCCCAGGATTTTGGGAGTCGAGACCAAATCACAAGCTGAACATCTGCTGATCACAGCATCAGATCCATTAATCCTTAGACTGCAGTCTCATGTACGTTGACATTCTACAATTTAGAATCAATATTACAAGATGAGAAAGTATCATGAACTGACCTTAGTTTTGGTGGAGGAGGCAGCGGAGACTAGTTTTTTTTTTTTTTTATCGCAATGAAAGAGCTTTTTAAAAAAAAAAGTGTTTTACTTTAGCCATAGAAGAACTGTTTAATTATCCTATGTCCAGCATCAACATTGACCAGCAGTCGCCTTCTCTTCCCCTCTCTGGTGCTGCCTGCCCATAGGCTCATCTGTTCCCCCGTTGTCATTCTACCACCTACAGAGTTAGGATCTAGAGGTTGACCTCGGCTAGGCATAGTCTCTCGGTGCTCATCCTCTTGTTCAATCTGCTGTGCTCCTTGGATCCTCCACAGTTGGCCCAGCTATCCTCGGTCAGCTGTAGCCTTTCCTCGTCCTGGTGCCGTTTCCCCCTGGTGGACTTGGCCAAACTTTCACTTTGCTCCTCTGTACT